AAAAGGCAAAGAAAAGCAAGAGAAGGGAAGGGAAAGGAGAAAGGGTGGGGAAAGGGGGAAGGAGGAAGGCAGGGGGAGAAGCAGAAGGGAAGGGAGAATCTGAGAAGGGGGAAGGGGGAAGGAGGTAAAGGAAAGGAAGGTCAAGGAAAAGAGAAGGAAGGAAAGGTGGAAAGGGAAGGGAAGGCCCTGGTCTTCCAGGCCGAAAGGAGAAAGGAGACAGGAACTGGCTACTTTTTACACTTTTTTTTTTCTACACTTTAAAAAATAACTAGCTACTTTTTCTACACTTTTGGGGTTCTTTAGCAAGTGGCCTGGGTTCACCTTTTCAAGCTCAAAAAAGGCTCTTCCAGGCCACTTGTCTTTTTCTACACTTTTTCTCCTCAATTTTCTAAAAATTGTACTCAATTTTTACAATTTTTTCTTCAAACAAGTCTCTGTCGGGTCTCTGTCGGGTCGGGATGCGACCCGGTGACGTCTCTGAGCTCAAAAAAACGCGTTAAATTTTGACGCATTTTTGTCTTCCTTTTTGGAGGGCTGCGCTCTCTATGTCTTCCTTGCAGAACTTTCTCTTCTCCAGGGAGGGAGGGAGGGAGGCGAGAAAGAGTGAGAGCGCAAGGGAAAGAGAGCGGGCGGCTCATGCGTATTTTGTGCCAAAAATACTATTTTCTATTTGAAGACCTGTTTGTGAGCACGTTTATCAACCTGTTATCTTGACGCTTTTCTTCTATTTGTCCCGGAACCCTGCCACGGGAGGAATGTGCAGCCTTCTATTTGAAAATATTTATAGTATCTTCTACAATAGTTTGCCGTACTATAGCGGTTCCCACAGGTAGTAAAAGTCGTCGTTGTGGTGGTCGTGGGAGCAGGAGTAGTAGTAGTAGTAGTAGCAGCAGCAGAAGCAGCAGCAGCAGTAGTAGTCGTCCTAGTAGTAGTCGTCGTCGTCGTCGTCGTCGTCGTCGTCCTAGAGTAATAGTAGTAGTAGTAGTAGTAGTAGTGGTAGTAGTAGTGGTAGTAGTAGTCGTAGTCGTAGTCGTAGTCGTGGTCGTGGTGGTGGTGGTGGTGGTGGTGGTAGTGGTAGTGGTAGTGGTGGTGGTGGTGGTGGTAGTGGTAGTGGTGGTGGTCGTGGTAGTGGTAGTGGTAGTGGTAGTGGTAGTGGTAGTAGTAGTCGTCGTCGTAGTACTAGTAGGAGTAGTAATAGTAGTCGTCGTCGTAGTAGTGGTAGTGGTAGTGGTAGTGGTAGTGGTAGTCGTAGTAGTAGTAGTAGTAGTAGTAGTAGTAGTAGTACTAGTAGTAGTAGTAGTAGTAGTAGTAGTAGTAGTAAGAGTAGTAGTATTATTATTCGTAGTAGTACAAGCAGTAGTCCAAGTAGTAGCACAAGTAGTAGTGCAAGTAGTAGTGCAAGTAGTAGTACAAGTAGCAGTACAAGTAGTAGTGCAAGTAGTGGTGCAAGTAGTCGTGCAAGTAGTAGTACAAGTAGCAGTGCAAGTAGTAGTACAAGTAGTAGTACAAGTAGTAGTGAAAGTAGTAGTAGTAGTGGTGGTGGTTGTTGTTGTTGTTGTTGTTGTTGTTGGTGTTGTTGTTGTTGCTGGTGTTGTTGTTGTTGTCGTAGTCGTAGTCGTATTCAGTACCAGCTTGTCGGTTTGTGGGGTGGCAAAAAACAACAGCATGGCCACATATTTTCTAGGAGGTGGTAGGAACCAAGTAAAAGGACGGGGCTGCATTTCTTGTGTACCTTCCTGTTGTTGTTGTTGTTGTCGTCGTCGTCGTCGTCGTTTTCTTCTTGTTGATGCCTTCGTTGCTTACAGCACACGAACCACTTCTGCTGTTGCTGCAACTGAGGGGAGATGCGTCGCATGCCCATGCAGCCCCTGCAGCACTTGCTGGGCAACTGGAACCTGGCCAGCTGCTCGCTTAGCATGGCTCTCTTTGCAAGCAGCTGATGAGATGAAAGACTCGCTCTAGGAGCTCCATGGTTTGCAAAGGGGAGGTTTTGTCAGACTGTGAGAAATCAATGGGAGACGCTTTCAGTATATTTTTGACCAAATGTGGACATATTTTCATATTGTGACTGGCCTTTCGAGCGCTTCAAAATGGTACAAACTTGGGGCAATTTTTGCAAGCTGTTGTGCGACTGGCATTGTTGACATTGAGGCCCAAGGCGGTTCCACTATACCCAGCAGGCGCCTGGTAGTCATATTGCGCAGGAGAGTGCTTGCTGGAACGTTTCCCGTGGAATCTATTTAGGGCGTATTGCGACACGCATTAAACATAGTTTACTGCCGGACATGATTGTGGATACATTATTGGACTGGTGTCATATTCTCCAACTTTTGCCTCAAGGACATGATCAAGGATCTTTGAAACATCACATATTTCCTCGGCCCCTCTGCTTCTCCAAATCTCGTGTCTTCCCAAGAGCAAGTTCCTTTATGTGGCTAGTTTTCTTTGGCTCCACAGTAAGAGGTAGTTGCGCCGAAGACCTCAATCATGCTGTTATTTTTTCACGTTCTTTCTTTACTTTTGACCTTAGGTCATCTCGGCACCCTTCGGCACACAGAGGTGCCAAAACGGGGTGTCCCCTAACTTCGAGAAATGCTGCGTCATTGCAAAAATTGTTCTGTATCGTGCAATGCCCGTGTGAAACAGGTGAGACATAGGACCTATCCTAGCATGGTATCTGTACCTCTTTGTACAAAATTGGAAATGTCGGACATCAACAGAGGGAACTAAGGTTCCCCCTGGGCATCCTCCATTGCCACTCTCTACCACCCGCCTGTTGGGAACGAGGAGCTAAGGCTCTCATTCCTATTGGCTCACTGTATTGCGAATGGCGAAAAGAGATTGGCGACCCTACTTAGTGTTTGCACTTTTCACTTGCCGTAGCTTCCTGGCGGTGTGCTTATACACCATTCCCGCTGCGAAAGCATTGCTGGTCTTTGGTGCAGGTTCTGGAAAGTCTTCTCTCCATAGATCACTGGCATCGGCCGGCAAAACTCGGTGCCATTCGGTGGGCCTTTCTCTATTTTTCCTCTGCGTCTCTTTTTTGTTTTTCCTTTGCCTTTACTGTACTTGTCTCTCTTTTCTGTCGTTTGCTTCAATCAAGCAATGTGATTAGAAATATGTCTTGATCAGTTGCGTGTAAGGCCCAATTGTGTCATGTCCTTCGCAGTTTTAAAGGAGGTTTGCACTCTCCATAAGCATACTTGCAGTCTGTTGCTTGTAGAGCCTTGCTTGTAGAAGGCTTTCTCGTTTCTGGATCTTGCCATGTTTGAGCCAACGGGATTTGAAGGCCTGTTGACTGGGAAGCAATGATTTGCCTTGCGCCTGCATATTTTTTGTGAATAGGCTGTCATAGGGCGTCCGTAGCAGTTTCTCTGGCGAGGCTGTGGAATACTTGGAATACAGTCACTTGTATAATATACCGTAGTTCTTCCTTTAAAGTGAGCCAGCCCTTGTAGCATGGGGCCAAGATGAACAGCGCTAGCGGGGCTTGTTTGCTCCAAAATTATAAACGGTTTCCGTTCCTCCGTCCAGCTTAAGATTGGTTTGCCTTTGACTTAACACACACGAATCATGCTGAAGCTTCAGACATGATCAGAAGATCATAGAAACAGCAAAGACAGAGTTCCTTCAGGTCGCATTTGAAAGAATTTCAGGTGTCCTCTTTTTAAGAGCTCATGGGAGTGTTCTGCCCGATGAAATGTGATTCTGATATTTTAGTCACAAAAAAAACTCATATTCTGATATTCTGCATTGAGTCAGGTCTTCTCATGCATTTTTTGAATGTGTAGGGCCAGCTGGAGAGTTGTGGATTCAAGCACTCTGGAACGATGGAGTTTTCCATACTAGTGCTTTTCATTTTTTTGGATTCAGATATGGGAGATTCAGGCGCCGGGCGGTATGGTTTTGGATAGTTTTTGGAATATACAGCACAGGGCTGCAGAGTTGAGTTGTTTTTGCAATTTGGAAGATTGTACTTTGGGATTCGAAATGATGGATGGAAGCTGAGCGAGAAAAGGCTTTCTCGAACCTGCCAGTTGCGCTGTGGGGCGCAGCGGTATAGCTAAACTCAACTGGTTTGTTTGGGGACGCATCAGACGTGGGCCTGGCTCGATTTTTCTTTGGACCTTTAGGTGTTTTCTTTCTTTCTTTCTTTTGTTCACTTTTGGTGTTCAATTGCTTCCTTGCTTGATTCCTTGCTTGCTTGCTTCCTTCCTCCCTTCCTTGCTCCCTTGCTTCCTTGCTTCCTTCGTTGCTTGCTTCCTTCGTTGCTTGCTTCCTTCGTTGCTTGCTTCCTTCGTTGCTTGCTTCCTTCGTTGCTTGCTTCCTTCGTTGCTTGCTTCCTTCCTTGCTTGCTTCCTTCATTGCTTGCTTCCTTCCTTCCTTCCTTGCTTCCTTCCTTCCTTGCTTGCTTGCTTCCTTGCTTCCTTGCTTCCTTGCTTCCTTGCTTCCGTGCTTCCTTCCTTCCTTCCTTCCCTTGCTTGCTTGCTTGCTTGCTTGCTTGCTTGCTTGCTTGCTGCCTTGCTGCCTTGCTGCCTTGCTGGCCTTGCTGCCTTCCTGCCTTCCTGCCTTCCTGCCTTCCTGCCTTGCTGCCTTCCTGCCTTCCTTCCTTCCTTCCTTCCTCCCTCCCTCCCTCCCTTCCTTCCTTCCTTCCTTCCTTCCAGGTTGAGATGGCTTCATGGAGATTGTTTGATCAAGCTTTACAGCATTGCAGAATATTGCAGAATGTGCTCACCCATCCTTTTCTTAAGGGTGAGATGTTGGTGCTGTGGTACCGTGGTACCGCAGCATCCGCTTGAACAATAATTTACACAAACCTCTATGAATCTGTAAGATCTGTACGAGTACACGCAACTACATTCGCGTATATTGCACAAGTATTTCGTTCATGTTTGTTGCACAAGAAAGAAAAGAAAGATAACCTTATTACTTTAAATCAGACAAAAAGGGACAATTGACAAGTCCTCTGTTGACTTCTAGATTCTTCCCTTTGAAAGATGGCCGAATTCAATTTTCCTTTACCTTAGACGGCCGTTTCTTTCGTTTTGTTTCCAAGCACCAGAGGTGAGGGCAGTCAAGCCGCTCCCAAAGCGCCGAGCTTCAAAGAACTCCCAGCCTGGAGTGCTGCACCAGCGGTGCGGGAAGCACTCAGGCGAAAACGAAGTGGGGAAAGACAAAGGCGAACTGGGAAAACAAAGACCGAAAAAAACGAAGTGAATGAACAAAGAAAGGTGAAAATGAAACGACCAAACACGTAGACCGAGAACGATCCAACACCAGCTGCTTGAACGGTTTTCGATCCAAAACGATCCAAAACGATCCACCAAAAGAGAATGAAGGGAACCAGCTGCTTTGGGTGATTTTTGGATATTGACAGAACACACACAGTTTCTTTGAAGCGACATTGTCAAGGGTACATTTGGTAAGACAGGGTTTGTGATAGGGATAGGGCGGGCGCGCAAAACAAATCACAGTCGTCGACATTATTGCGAAGGTAGACATGGGCTTTAGGAACAACGGGGGGCAGTGGGGTAGAATTGTGCAAAACCTCCTCACTAGGGGCTACGGGAGTTTGAATCTGGTCGTATGAATCCCTTTGCACAAAGCACTGGCTGCAATTGCCTGCTGCCGATGGGGATGCTGAGGTTTCCGAAATATAGGCACGGTCAAAGTACCCCATCATGCGACCAACGTTGCGGATCCCTTCAGAGGCTCCTGGCCTTACTGCTAGGAACAAGGACGCTACTAGGGGCTCCTGGCCTTACTACTAGGAACAAGAAGCTACTAGGAACAAAGGGCATCGCTATTAGGAGCAAGGACTCTACTAGTAGCTGTTCCGCTGTCGGATGTCGCCAGAGGCGCTCGCAAGTGATTTGCATCCAGGGCGAGACTGGCTGTGGCAAGTGGAGAGCACAGATTTCACAGACCACACGACTCAATCCCCATGGTGCCGTGCTCGCTCTAATAGGGTCTCTTGCAACTAGCTACCCCTTACATGGAAACCAGACTCTTTTTCAACTAAGTATCCTTTTGTACTATTTGGGCTTTGTAGTAGCAAGAAGGCTGCCCGTTGCATATGCTGAGAGCTCAAATGATTGCAAATTATGAAAGTTAGGTGTAGGTAGGTGGAGTCTGTGTTGCATTAGCAAGGAGGGTGAGAGCCCAGGACCTGAGTGCTATTACCTGATATATCAGGACTACACCCCCCCCCCCTCGCGGGGTTCAACTCCACCCTTCTCCTCCTCGGTACCTGGTACCTGCTGCTGCTGCTTGGTCGCTGCTGCTGCTGCTGGCATCTCATCTGCACCTGGCTCTTGGCTGCTTGCTGGTTGCTGCTGCTTGCTGCTTGCATGCTTGGTGCTGCTGGATGCTCTTGGCTGCTTGCTGGTTGCTGCTGCTTGCTGCTTGCATGCTTGCTGCTGCTGGGTGCTGGCTGCCTGCTGCTTGTTGTCTGCTCCGTTTTGCTGCTGTTGCCGTTTGGGGTTGTTGGCTGCTGTTGGTGCTGAAGAAAGCCTATTCGTTAGAATCGAGAGTAGTTGCATTCCCTCTGAGTCGTGAAACGATGCTAATTTCATTATATCCTTAAGAAGCTTGTACAGGCATGTACCCACCCCACAACCCCCAAGAGTACAAATCAGAATGCACTATCCGCTATCCACGCAGATCAAAAGATGATACTTACTACACACATGAATGACAGAACCCAGTACGATGTTTGAACGGGCTGTTTGCTTCACTCATGGTAGTCCGCGTTCCATGTTCGAGCGACAGGGAGCATGCACAAGCATCACAAGCGTTGCGACGGAGTCTTCGGTCGCTGACACATGTTCGCATGCAACCCCTAGATGTCAATCATGCACACCGCTGCTGGCTGCATCGTCAGCATTTATTTGTGGAGAAAACCTTCTACAATTACTCAGGCAGCACCTATATGTGCTATTGTTCGAGACCAAATGTTGGGGCACGAAAGACTCTAAGGAAAGCTCACTCTTTCCCTGCTGCTGCTGCTGCTGCTGCTTGGTAGCTGGTGGTGCTGCTTGGTAGCTGCTGCTGCTGCTTCGTAGCTGCTGCTGCTGCTGCTTGGTGGCTGCTGCTGATGCTGCTGCTGCCTGGTAGCTGCTGTTGATGCTGCTGCTGCTTTGTAGCTGCTGCTGCTGCTGCTGCTTGGTGGCTGCTGCTGGTGCTGCTGCTGCTTGGTAGCTGCTGCTGCTGCTTGGTAGCTGCTGCTGATGCTGCTGCTTGGTAGCTGCTCCTGCTGCTGCTGCTGCTTAGTAGCTGCTGCTGCATGGTAGCTGCTGTTGATGCTGCTGCTGCTTGGTGGCTGATGCTGCTGCTGCTTGGTGGCTGATGCTGCTGCTGCTGCTTGGTAGCTGCTGCTGATGCTGCTGCTGCTTGGTAGCTGCTGCTGCTTGGTAGCTGCTGCTGCTGCTGCTTCTCTGCTACTGCTGCTGCTGCTTGCTTGGTAGCTGATGGTGCTGTTGCTTGGTAGCTGCTGCTTGGTAGCTGCTGCTGCTGCTGTTGCTGCTGCTGCTGCTGCTTGGTAGCTGCTGCTGATGCTGCTGCTGCTTGGTAGCTGCTGCTGCTGCTACTGCTGCTGCTGCTTCTCTGCTGCTACTGCTGCTGCTGCTTGCTTGGTAGCTGATGCTGCTGTTGCTTGGTAGCTGCTGCTGCTGCTGGTGCTGCTGCTGCTGCTGCTGCTTGGTAGCTGCTCCTGCTGCTGCGGCTGCTGCTTGGTAGCTTCTGTTGATGCTGCTGCTGCTTGGTAGCTGCTGCTGCTGCTGCTGCTGCTGCTGCTTGGTGGCTGCTGCTGGTGCTGCTGCTGCTTGGTAGCTGCTGCTGGTGCTGCTGCTGCTGCTTGGTGGCTGCTGCTTGGTGGCTGCTGCTGCTGCTGCTGCTGCTTTGTAGCTGCTCCTGCTGCTGCTGCTGCTGGTGCTGGTGCTGCTGCTGCTGCTGCTGCTTGGTAGCTGGTGCTGCTGCTTGCTAGCTACTCCTGCTGCTGCTTCTGCTGCTGCTTGGTAGCTTCTGCTTGCTGCCGCTGCCGCTGCTGATTACAGTTATTGTTGTTGTGGCTGTTGCTGCTGCTGCTGCTGCTGCGGTTGCTGGGGTGCTTGTGTGTTGCCATGTGTTGGCTGTGTTGGGGTCGTATTGGGGGGGGGGCGCTGTTGGCACTCTCCTTTTCCCTTGGCCATGGCATGTTGGGATTCCCGGCCAGGCTTTTGCTGCCTAAAGAGCCCCAGCGTTGTTTCTTTGCCTAGCTTTCGCCACCCCCGTCCGGGCCACAAGTTATCTAAGGTCGTCAGTGATGCCAATGGTGTTCCTTGAGGACACCAAGAGCAAAATTGAGCCATCCTCAGATGGACATCGCTAGTAGGTTGGAGGCCATTAAAGATTTTCTTGTGAAGAATCACATTGCAACAGGGGAGTAGAGAGGTAGGGTCGGAAGAGGCAGCGAAGAGGTGCTTGGTCACTTGAAGTAGTAGCGATGCCTTTTGCTCCTAGTAGCTTCTTGTTACTACTAGTAAGGCACCTGTTACTACTAGCGTGGCACTTGTTTCTAGTAGCTTCTTGTTACTACTAGTAAGGCACTTGTTACTAGTAGCGATGCCTTTTGCTCCTAGTAGCTTCTTGTTAGTAGCTGGTAAGTGACTGCATGCCTTTTATGCAGAAGAACCTTTGGGATGGTGGAAACGATTCCTGGATTCTTGGGGAATCTCACCTTCAGGCAGAAGCAAACCAGAAGAATTCTGGAAGAAGGGGTCTCATTAAAGGGGGCCTTACCTTCTTCTTTTCATCTCTTTTCCTTTCACAATTCTTTCTTCTTGAGAAGCTTGACTTCCAATTGTTGAAGGCTGTAACCCAGCCCCGGCGGATTGCCGCCATCTCCTTGGCACAACGTCGGGCAGCAAAGCCTGTTTTGTCCAGTTTTGTTAAGGCAAATATTGGCTTGGTACGGCTCACTATAGTGTTCGTAGAGAAAATAATTAGACATGCAAACAAGACGAACGTAAGGGCCCTTTTAATTGATGCCTTTTTAAAGAGGCTGTGGCTGTGACCATTTTTTTTTCATTCTCATTTTCTAGTTTGAGACAATATAGTTGCATTCAAGACGTGTTTGTTGCTGTTTTGCAAAAGTCTTGATGTGTCAACAGTTGGATGCTTGTGTTCGCTTGTATCCTGCCAAAGTGTTGGTCCATGTAGAATCGAAGTTCAACCACCACGTCTAGAGTTTAACATACCAAACCGCAAGTTTGCTTCTTATTGCCTCGAATCTCATCGAGCTGAGCTTTGCTTCTGAGGAGTTGCCTCGCAACTGGATGAGCCTGTCGGCCAGACAGTAGGTTTGCGGCTTGGCAACGCTTTGGTTTGTGACACTCGTAGCCTTGTAGTGGGGCCGATGAAGACAACTGCATATCGCCTTGGATCCTACATCTGCCAGTCTGCTGTGTCGTCTATACTATATTAGATTCTTATTCGATATTTGCGCAGAAGATTCAGATTGATGTCTTTCAGATTGCACGTTCGATGTCTTCGAACCTGTGTGCACGTTCTGTGCAGTCGGATGTCGACATGGCTGACAGGCTATCGAGTGGCCATGGATGGTCAGGCCTGATTTTTCGAGTGTCGAAGGTTTGTTACCAAAGTCCTCACCAACTGAACGAACGTCCTGCAAACCAATCTGATATCCAACTGCAAGCTCTTGATAGGTTAGGCATTTTATGCAGATGCGCTTAACTTTGCTAAACTTGGTACCACTGTGAAGGTCTCTACCTCAACGCGTTTATCCTTTGTCACCACAGGCACCGCAGCTTTGAATCCAACGCCAGCGATTGGAAGTTTTGACTGGCAATTGTGCAGCTTTTGTCAGCCTTATTTGGATGACACTTGTCAGCTTTTGTCAGCTTTACTGGCAATACGGCCCTTAAGAGCCAGCAGGCAGCAAGCTGGACTGAAAGAACTCTTGTCAATGTGCCTGAAACCTTGACTCTGGTGCCTCATGGAGGTGCATAAAAGCCCAAGGGTTTAATAGCAGATAATAGCGGCGTCAAGTAGGCTGGAGCTGTGTATTTAGCTGAAACATTGCCGAGTACTCAAGCTATTCCTTCAGGGCTATTCAGGTTGTTTGAAGGGCTGGGTAAAGGTTCAAAAGTCTTCCTACTTGCAAAGAATCGACTTGCTGGCCCGCCATGGCATCGAGCCGAAGACCTGGATCAAGCTAGCTTTATGAAAACACCCGATGTTGGCATTGTCATACAGTCATTACATTTTCTCAAATGAGACTAGGCCCATTTCGGCCTGCCGGGCCCAAAACTGTTCCTGGACTGGACCACCGGAAGTATGCCAGCAGTAGAGAGCACAATGCTTATTGCTAATTATTAGGCTAAAGTACGCACTCTTAGGTTGGAGGCCGTTGCTTCTAGACTTGGGATTGCTTGGACGTACGGTTCACACACTCGGGCGGTTCACACGATAAAGCAAGTATGGCCTGATTGTGCCCAGCCCTGGAAACCTCGATATATACGAAAACCTAAGCAGTGCAAAGGGATCCAACCTCGTTCAAAATCAAGGGGTCCAAAGCGTCAAAGTTCCGAGTTCGAAAGCTCCATGTTCCAAAGTAATGCCAGGAGCTACAAGTAGCTTCTTGCTCTTAGTAGCGATGGCCTCGAACCTACTTGCAATGGCCTCCACCTCGTAGATTCTTGTTGCAGTAAGGATGCTCCTAGTAGCGATGCCAGGAGCCCCTAGTAGCGTCCTTGCTCCTAGTAGTAAGGCCAGGAGCCCCTAGTAGCTTCTTGTTACTAGTAGCCTCCTAAAGTGCTTGAAGTTCCAAGCCTCCAACGTTTATCACTTGGCACTTTACTGCAAAGCCGGTGCACAGAAACGGTCTTGTTAGGGACCAAGTAGGACGTTCTCCCACAACACAGGTACGTGAACTTTGGGGTCTCAAAGTCATATCACGACGCGATGGAAAGGTCTTCGTTGAGCAATGTTTTCCAAAGTGTCCATTGCCCCCTTGCGACATTAAATGCCAAAAGGCACCTTGTTATTCGAAAGGCTACAGGTTACACACACAAATCATAAAGAAATCCACTACGCCTTCTGGAAGTATTCCCCAGTCCATCCAACCATCCTGGCCTTGTTGTCGAGGTGCTTAATCATGTACTTGTTGCAGCAGCATGAACAATCACAAAATACCTTTTGCAGGTTGGCTGCTGATGTACTTGGCTCATCGGCCTGAGGCCTCATGGGTTGGGACAGGATTTAGGTTTGGAATCAAGATACTTCGGACATTCTGGAATCTCACACAGTTTGCATTTTCCTTTTTAGTCCTTTTATCAGTTTTGCCACACACTTTATATTCGTACTTCGATGCCCTTTCCATCCTCATTCACTCACATTATTTCCAGTTCTTCTAGTTTTGCTGCGCCCGGTGATTCCCGCGACTCATCCTTGTGCTATGGCAAGCTGCGATGGAAGAAACATCCCCGATTCATTCCCGGACACATCAACAACCCCTACTGAAGTAACACTCCTATGGTTCTTTTGCATCTCTTGCTCAGGACGTAAGCACAATCACAAACTCGAGAAGGGTATGCAGTATGAGCCTGAACAATGCCAAACCCTCTTGAAGCACCTGTTCGTCGTCACTGGGACCTTGACCCAGCCCTACGCCACCAGCTCCAACCCTCCCCAGATATGTGAGAAGATGTTCAAGAGTTATACCTGGCGGGTGTGCAAACCTGATGCTTCACCCCTACTTGGCAACATTTGACGTACCAGACCTTTCTAAGAAGCTCCAGCACGTCACGCCTGCCCCCCTGAAAGACATCGAGGAACCAAATCATTAAGGCCCAGACTTCCTCAAGAAAGCCCCTAGCCTGCGTCCAAGCCTAGGAAGCTGCTTAAGCTGACTGGCTTACCTACTTAATGTACTAGCCCACCCCATTAAAAAGGCCTGGAGTTCCACGCATAAAGGCCTTTTTGGGCTCTCCACTTCCACGTATATGTGTGGGAGTGTACTAGTTAATTGTTAGCCCACCCCATCGGCACAACCCCCCCCAAACCCAAATTTACAAAAGCACAAATTAAACACACATTGTAAAGAAAGAACGTCGAGAAGTTTCAACGGAGCCAGGCCTTGCGTCACTACACCCACATTGTGCTCGATGAGATCCACGAGAGAGATCTCGATATGGACGGCTCGCGAGACATCACAAGATGCGTGGGTGTTTTGAGATTTTTTGGGTCACAGAAGGCTCTTATTCTTTTCTCGCCCTGACGTGGATATTTGATAAGTGAACATCAGGTCACTTGCTGAAGTTGACTTTCTGATTTCCAGCACAGCTGGGATTTTCGCCTGTCTTGGAGGATCTGTTGTGCCTTCTGCTCAAGCGGTCTTTGCAAAAGAATCCTGCGCTGCCGATGCCCCAGATACAGAAAAACGATAATTGTTGTGCCTGCTTCGTGGGGCCCTTACTTCTCAGTGTGCTTCATTTCTTCAGGCAGCATTAAAAGGTGCCAAGGTCATTCCTAGAAAGAAATTTAAGAACATGGAGATCATGGAGCAAATAAAAAATCCAGCACAAGCATAGGCATGGTCAGGGTTGCAGGTTGGCTTCTTGATCCGACTTTTAGTCTGTTAGTCTCTAGATTTTTCACTCAAATGGATATTCATTTTTTGATAACCTTGCCAAACCGTCCATCACTAGCATTACGTTGCTTCGATGTTTGATTCTTGTAGGTGCTAGGCCAGAATTTGCCACGAGCACGCCAATCAACATGTGGGCAGTGATGTCTATTCCAAAAGGCGAGCAGAGTGGTAAGTGTAATAGAGATGGCCTCTGGACTCCAACCTATTAGCGATGGCCTCCAACCTAAGAGAGATGGCCTCCACCTGCTGTCGAAGCCTGGTGTGACAGTCTGACGGTCGCAAGGCGGTTGGTCTTGATGTCCGCGACAGTTGACGCGACTCAGCAGGGACCCCAAGACTGATAGCGGCCAATTTGGATCGAGTTCAACCCATGTGGCGCAGTGCTTCTGATCGAACAGCCAACTGCCAAAGGCCAAAGGGCATCGCCATTAGGAGCAAGGACGCTAGTAGGTTGAAGTTTGCTCGACAGATTTGTTGCCTGGAATTTGTCGATAGCCTGGAGGCAAGTGCTTCGATTGGCAAGTTGTCATTGCAGCCACTCGGCCCCTCCCACCTCCAATAAAGCCACTGCCAGTCACTCCAGTCACCAGCGTTTTGCTGTTGAAGAAGCTCAATTCCGAGAGATTGATGCCGCCATGAATCGCTGCTTCTTCCTTTTTGGCATCCTCCTGTCAGCTATCGGCTGCTCAGCGATGAACTACAGCAAGTGACACCTGTTTTGACGGAAGATGAATGCACTTCTGAGCCTTACTGATTTATATATTGCTGATCATTTTTGCTTGTTTCACGTACCTTTCCCTTGGCGGTTCAACTTTTGCATTGTTGGTTTGTTGATCTAATTGGAGTTTGTCATTGACTCCTCACAGAAGGAGACAAACAGGAATTTTCGAAGGAGATGGGAAACCAGAAAGATGAGGAAGGCTAACGAGAGTAGAGTTGAGGACAGGAAAGAAAGGAGAACAACAAATGAAGCAACGAGAAGCAGCGAATCCTGAAAGACAGGGACGGATGGAGAAGGAGGATACACTTGGTACATCACATCTCATGAAATGTGCTGCAACAAGCCTTTGCTCCTAGTAGCTTGGTTGTTACTAGTAGTAATTAAGGCCAGGAGCTCCTAGTAGCGATGCCCTTTGTTCCTAGTAGCGTCCTTGCTCCTAGTTCTAGATGTGGATAGACGTGAGTTGAGCCGTCAGCCATTGCAATTTTGTAAAAAGGGCGGTGTCTTGCATTCCAACAGTGCTGGACTCCAACAATAGACGGAACACCCAGAACAAACTTCAATGCCCTGAAAGTGGGCTTATCAAACCTGGGCGCCACTCGAACCCAGCGTTCAACGCAGAACAGCCTGCCGTTTCTCAACAACGACTTCGGCTGAAAAGCTATTGCCATCCATGCAGCATGACTCCCTGCCCACTGGTTGACGATGCCATGTTTTTGGGCAGCTTGAAAACCCGCCCCACCAGTTTGCACAGAATATTCAGCCACTCAGCCTGACCCACTCCCATGTGTTTTGTATTGCTGGCGTGTGATGTGGCTCACTGGAGAAGGCAAACGTATGATTACTTTGTGTCAAAGCACAGCAACACATCGAAAGGCTAGATTATGACCTTGGTGTCAATAGTCCAAGAGTCCCACAGTCCAAGGCTTCTTTGCGTGGAAGCACGTCTTCAATCGTCAGCACTATCAAGACTCCTGCAGCAACTTTCGGCAACTTGGCCACACGGTCTTGCACAGCCTTCCGCCGTCCTGGTCTGGTGCTACTGTATATTGTGCCCTTTTGGACCTTTTGCTAGAATATATAAAATAAATATATATTGAACAGTAAGTAAGGGCTTCTTGAGACCGAGAAAAGACATGTCTTTTAGCTAGGAGCAAGGACGCTACTAGTTTGAGTCAAATTTGCCCGTGTTCGGAATGCACAGCTGTGACGCAATTGGAGGTCTCCAGTACGGACCTTGGAGGGCCATCCCTTCACCTGCGGTTGGCAACAGCTGAGACCAAAAACCTTTGGAGACTTTGCCACTTGAAGGAAATGAAGAAAGTAATGGTAACGGCCTCCAACGTAATAGTGATGGCCTCCAACCTAATGTAAAAGACGTATCAAGCTTTGACAAACTAAAGAAAGAAACTTGGACTGAAACACCTTACAGCGTATCTTTGTCAAGTGGCCCCCGAGTGTGAACTACTGAGGAAGGACTACATTGACGACGAACAAGAATGAAACTACTACTATTAAAGAGGTCCACACACACACACCTTCATGTCTTCTCTTGCAAGGAATCCTTTCTTCTTCACAAGTACTATATATAATATATATGTCAATAGAGATGAGGTCTCAGTATAGCTTCTATATAGGTACTTGCCATACCATTTTGGCTCAAGTGCCCAACCAGGTAAAAAGGAGCTTTAGCGCGCGAGCTTCATGTTAGACTAAGGGCTAGAACGGGGCCAGGGGCACGCTTTTCATCCGTTCGCAGGTTATCAGCCGTATCCAGACTCCTTCGAGCTGGGTACGAGCTACGGCCTTACACAACACCATCTAAACGCACACGCATCGGATAGATCAGTTACCCTCAGTCACTGAAGATGGACCAATCCGACGCCAGCACTGCATCCTTTGGAGCAGCCGCTGCGGCCGCAGATCGGGTGAGTGCATCCCACAACTCTAGTCCAGGTACGGTCGAAGCGGAGACTCTGACAGTGGTGAGAGAAGTTGCGACAGGTAGAGCACGAAGTCGTTCCCCGTCAGCGCACTCGACACCACCGGGGGGGACACCGAGATCGGGCCGTAGCCCTAGGGAGACAAGGAGGAGGACTGACACCGGAGCTGTGAGAGTGCTAGCTTTAGAGGATGGGTCAACTGTACCAGTACCGTCGGACAGCGAAGCTGGAGACGGAGCAAGGGCAAGCACTGACAACCTACAACTAGCACGGGCCGATGGAGACCTCAATGCGAAGTGTGCACAACTACTTGCCGAAGTGCATATGTTGAACCACCAAAACGCATGGATGGTCGAATGTGAGCAAAGACAGAACCAGATTATACAACACGAGACCGAAGTCCACGAAGTAGTGATGGCACACCTCGAAGAATGTTATTTAGAAGGATATGGAAATCAACGAAGAATCTCCCAACTTACAGAATCCAGAGACTGTTTGCTCTCAGCAGCACACGATTTGCAATACCAGATTGACACTGATCGTGTGGCAATGCGGGATCGTCTCACCCAGTTAGGGGAGTACGCTGATCGCAACAGCGCAGAGATGGTTAGTCAAGTCGTGAACATCGGCACGGAAGAGATCCAGGCTATATCGGCGGAAAGAGATCGAGCTGTGACGGAGCTCATGACTGCAGTCGCAGATGCTGAGAACATTAGGGATCTGTATAGGCAGGAGGTAGTTGGACTACAAAGGCAGAGTGTCAGGAACAAACACGAATATGCCGAGGAGACGAAGATGAAGGAAGCAATGTATACAAGCAAGATCAAATGGTTATCAGAAGAGAATGAGGAGCTCAACAACCGATCTTATAATCAGGACAATTTCATCATGACCATCAGAGAGCAATTGAAGAGGGCGAACGAGGAGTTGACGCAGGCGAGGACTCAAGGATCCGACCGACCGTCTCAACCATCCAACGTCGAACTCAAGAAAGCTGAGGTCAAGATGAACATGTTGGAAGAAGACATTCTACGTAAAGAGAGGATGTTGAAACGTCTTCAGGAAGAATTGATCGAATCTAGCGCGAGTGAAGCACAGCTGAAAGTCGCACTGAAGATGAAACCACCAGACATGGGATCAGAATCCAATGTGGAAAATGAGATGATGACCAGGCTTAAAGCGGAACTTGAACGCACCGGAAAGTCATTAAGGTCCGAGGAGAAAGAGGCGATGGAGTACTACGAAGGTATGATGCAGAACCAGCAGGACATGATGGAATTCGAAGCACATGCAGCACGACTCAGAGATGAGAGGAATAAGTACCGGAAGAGGTATGAAGAGGAGCGCATGAACGCTGAGAATGCAGCTGCAACCGAACATGGTGCCGCTTCATCCTCTAGCTCGGGTGGCTCCAAGATATCTCGGAAGGAACACGAGAAGATCAACATCCCTGCATGGCCCAAGATACACGACTTGGAGGTTTGGAAATCCCAAGTTGTAGCGGCAGTCGTGACGGCATCGGGCGACAAAAGACAAGAAGATTGGATCCAGTGGCTCTCGGATGCCTTCAAATCACCATATGACCCATTTCTGCTCGAGACATCGGGCGAAGCAAGATTCGCTAGCATAGATGCTAAGCTAGGTATCACCCTACACACGATTATCCACGCAGCAGGTGAGAGATCTCATGACGTACAACTGAAGGTGAGGCAGATGATGCAGAGACGTGCGAGAGGCACAACCCCGGGAATGGTTAAGGGACGAGAAATGTTAGCGTTGATCGTCGATAGCTTCCGGAGTGCCGACAACGTCGATGTGATGTATGCATCTAAGCACTTATTCGATCTGAAGTTCCCTGGAGATAATCAACTATCCAGATTCCTTGGACAGTGGGATGAGATCATATCAGGTATGGATGCGGATGACATGCTTCCTGACAAAGCACTCCGCAACCTGCTTTGGGACAAGATTAAAGATTCCAAAGTTATGGCGTTAGACTTGTCTGTGTACGACAACATGTTGGATAAGGATCCGGATAAGACCTATCAGAAGTTACGGGAGATTATGGCGAAGTGGATACGGAAATCAATCGAGACCACAAATAAGAAAGAAAGGGAAAAAGCTTTTGGGAACCTTATGAAGGCTACACCAGCGGAGAAGAAGGACCCTAAAGCGAAGCCCAAGAATACCAAGGCCGATCCACCGAAGGACGCCGCTCCAGTACTTCCTCAGAATAATCCGAAGGATCACCAAAAGAAGGACAAGAAGCAGGATCGTGGAAGGTCAACCACGAAGAGCCCGAAAGGGGACCGTGGCAGATCAGCGACTCCGGCAGACACGTCTAAGATAGGATGCGCTTTCCACTTCCATGGGAAGAACGGATGTTCTAGAGGAGACAAATGCAAGTTTAGTCACCAGGAGAAGCACAAAAGTTCTGCTAAGAAACCAGACAACCTCAAGGGTGACAGGTCAAAGAGTCCTGGTGGTAGGAGCACTAGCCCTAAGCCAATGAAGGATCAGGTCTGTTGGAATTGGCAGAAAGGATCGTGCAAGTTCGGGGACAAATGTCGACGTCAACACCAAGCTGCTCCTGCGGCAAAGCAAGAGGCTAAAGGCAAAGCCAAGCCCAAACCAGCTGCACCAGCCTTCATGCTTTGC